CAAAGAGGTCTCTAACCTTGATTCCTCGGTTTTGGGGACCGACGCCTTATCCATTAGGCCACAGGGCCCTCGAGAAATGCATTGCTGCGGCTGTCGGGCAAAATGATTTCGCTGGAATGTTTTGGAATAGGAATGGAAGACCTCCAATTGATACAAATTTCTCGACGCAGCAAGGACTCGAACCTTGAATCTTCGGTTTAGGAGACCGACGCCTTATCCATTAGGCCACAGGGCCCTCGAGAAATGCTTTGCTGCGGCTGTCGGGCAAAATGATTTCGCTGGAATGTTTCGGAATTGGAGTGAAGCTGTCCCAATTATTTTAAATTTTTCGACCCAAAGAGGTCTCTAACCTTGATTCCTCGGTTTTGGGGACCGACGCCTTATCCATTAGGCCACAGGGCCCTCGAGAAATGCTTTGCTGCGGCTGTCGGGCAAAATGATTTCGCTGNAATGTTTTGGAATAGGAATGGAAGACCTCCAATTGATTCAAAATTCTCGACCCAGCAAGGACTCGAACCTTGAATCTTCGGTTTAGGAGACCGACGCCTTATCCATTAGGCCACAGGGCCCTCGAGAAATGCTTTGCTGCGGCTGTCGGGCAAAATGATTTCGCTGAAATGTTTTGGAATAGGAATGGAGGACCTCCAGTTGATTCAAAATTATCGACCCTGCAAGGACTCGAACCATGAATCTTCGGCTTAGGAGACCGACGCCTTATCCACTATGCCACAGGGCCCTCGAGAAATGCTTTGCTGCGGCTGTCGGGCAGAATGATTTCGCTGGAATGTTTCGGAATTGGAGTGAAGCTGTCCTAATTGTTTTAAAATTTTCTACTCTCTTAAAATTTCTCTTAATGCTGGACTGCGATTTACAGCAGAGGATTCATCCCCTTTCTGGGTCTCCCAGGCTGAGAAGGAGTCCGGCGCTTCTATCGAGAAACCTAGCTAAGAGCAATCCAATACCAGGATCTACCACCGTCCTAGTATCAAACTAGTAGCATGGTGACAAATCTCCGTCTGATCCACAAGGGCTGCGATTACTTGTGGTGGTGAAGACCTGGGGCAGACTCTGATCAGGCTGACCTCGGGACTCCAGGGAACCATAACGGCTTAACCACCAAATCTCCGAAAAATGGAGATTATACTTGGACCTGCACAATCGGTGAAGACGTGCCATTCAAGTATCAAGTATCAAGTAATATATAATAAAACGGCGTCACTTTTATGTGTGCTCATATTCTCCCATGTTTCCGAATGAGCTCCGAATTCTGAGTAGTAGCTAGTGAAGCAACTGTTCTTGTTTAGTTTCTCATTGCTATTATTTTTTGTTTTTCTTCATGATCAGAGCTATCCAATCGGCATCATTCTTTTCTGACTGCTTTATTGAACATTCCAGTATCTACGAGATGAAACGATGTCTTGAAAATGTTACGTGGATGTTTTATCAGAATAATCTGTCGGATTGAGATATCTGAGCCTGACGAATAAGCTTCAGTTGGCGTTCATTTCTTGGTGCTTGAGTGTTTCCATAAGGTATCGCGGATTTTTGCTGTGTAATAAAGTATTACTTTGACAAAATTCACCGCAACGGTTGTAAAATAGCGATTATTTTCCTCGAACTGCATTCTTGGCACAAGATGTTCGACTTTTTTCCCAAGACGTTGTCTGACTGCGTTGTTCATATCTGACATCTCCTCGACGCGATTGATCTGTAAAGTGTCAGTTTGCTTCAAATAAGTACAAGTCCTGTTGGGCTTCGAACCCCAGTCTACCTTGCAAACACGAGGTGTTTTATTTCTTCATTTACGAGTGAAGAGGCGTTTCGGCAGACTTCGCCTTCTGCCTGGAAAGGTTAAGCCGACCGCGTTCTACCCCTAACTTGATACGTCAGAAACCGAGTAAGTCAGTGTATAGGTTAAAGTTGTATGCCGTGTGCATTGTAAAATGCATTTAAAAAAATTGTGATTTTTCGTTTGCACGGAATAATAAAAAATAGTGATTACAAATTAAATAATTAAATCAAATAAATTGTAATATAAAAATTATAATATAAATTATTCACTAGAAAGAGCTTTATCCTTATAGTGAATAATTTTCCATATTTCACGTTTTGTCGAGCATCTATGGTGGATAAGATACCGACTGAATACAAAAAGTGCAGAATATCTCTCTTTGTAGCCAAATAAAAGTGGGAGCTTAGGTGCATTTGAACCAAAGTGCAGACTCTCCAACGCATCTATTGAGACCAACTCGTGCATTTTGTATTACTGGAGTGATCAAATATGTGGCACATTCCATAGAGATAGATTAGAGCCAAACGCAACCCTTATCTTTGTTAGCAATCCTGCGACAATTTATCAGAGGCATTGTAACCCATACTTGAGCATCCAATATAGTAGGATGTCCACCTTAAAAACTGCTGATTATTTTATCGTTGTTAAAGGACGTGTGTGGCGCAGTGGTCGGAGGCACCCTGCAACACAGAAGTGGAATCGATCCTCACTACCATGGCCCACCTAGCCTTCAATCCCTCCGGGTTGGGCAAATTGGTACCAGACTTGTATGGGAGGATAGCAGCACTAGTTGATACAACGGTAGGCCACCGCGAGTCATTACAGGGGCCAGATATGAATTCAATCACCTCCGGATGATGTTCAATGAAGTCTAATGCATGGCGCATCCCTCAGAGATTGATCAACGCCTAAAGCGTCATGTCTCCATCACTGGAACGACTGGATGAAACATTGAAGCTCACCTGTTCACCTATTTCTGCTTTATCGTATTTACATCTTGTTTCAAAATTTCTTATTGATATTTCTAGGTCAAGTAATCGTCGTTCGTACTTCTCTTGCCATTTCAGAACTCTTTCCTTTAGTTGATGAAGTTTTTCCTCCTAAATTATGATCACCTTTGAAGTGGTCGCTGTTTTCAGCATTCTACATATTTCATTCATAACTTCTTAGTGTTTAAAAGTAGTTGGTCAATATTAATAAAGAGAGGAAAGGAAACCACAGAAATTTTTGAATATTGCCGAGAAGTTTTCTGCATCGTTTTGGAGATAACTGTTACTTTTCTACCTTTTCTTTTCCATAAGCAAATAGCCGTCCTGATTTAAATCCTCAAAGATTGTGTTGCTTCGACACTAGTGATATTGTATGGTGTAAAGTTTTTGTTCGACTAGACGAAAGGTAAAAATATCTACTCGAGAGTTTTTGAACGCTGTATTGGATTAACGACAATAAATTGCAAGCATTCCGAAGAGCAGGATAGGCGGGAGGAATTCTAGCCGTCATATCCAACCTCATTTAGTAGTTCCGATTTAGCTTCATTTGAATTAAACACTTACTCTTTCTTCCTCATGTTCTCATTCTCTCATCGTATCCTTCCTCAAAAATGGGTGTGTATGCAGTTTAAGATAAAATTTTCAATTGATGGAGACTATATATTTATCTGGCTTCTCTTTTGTTTTGACCCATGTGCAAAACTTAAGATATGCTATGAAACTGTAGACATGTGATTAAATAGCTTAGAGACTTGCAGGATTTCTAAAAGTTCTGTAAAAAATAGGCTCTGGAAACTTTCTATCCTAAAAGAAAAAGCTAATGAAGAGACGCTTCGGAGGCAAACGCTATAATTAAATTTGATTGAAACAGAAGCAGAAAGGTAGCTTTCCCGAAGAAAAATTCTGGCATGAACGTAATTTACGACCACCTAGAGGAGAGTATGGTTCTTCGAATCGCTGGAAAACCTGGCGTTGATGTCAAGATGTCCAGGTAAGAGTTACCAATTCCCGCCCCCTATCCTAATAGGTAGATTAAACGGCGATGCGGCAAGTCTCACCCAACCCATGCTTCAATAGGAATGTTTGCGTTGATGAGTGATGGCGTCCGACATGGCAATCTCATATATCTCGTAAAGTCTTTTCTTTTCTAATAAAACTGACGCTTCACCTTAATTTTTCCAAGGATCTTGTTTAGTTTCTCTAGTCGAGCTTCCAGTTCGTCTTCTCGAAGGTCATTCCATATCGCAGACTTTTCGTCTCCACTAAAACTTCGTATACAAGAACTTAACCTGCATCGCCTTACACGCCATTGGCCATTTAGCAAATAACCATTAAATAGTTATTTCCATTCATGTCCGTTACTATTCAATTTAGTACTTTATTTACATGACGCGGATCAATATATGTAGAGCTTCGCACTTCTTTCATTCAGTGCGTTGCCACGAGTCCGTCGTGGACAAAGGTTCTCAGGTTTGCTTGTGGTGTCGGTTACTAATAAAAGGATTTGTTTTTCTCATAAATATCGTTGAATACTGAACGAGGTAATGCTCCTTGCAATTTTGGGATAGTTGTACCAAAGCGTAACCGCGCCTTCAGACAGACACAAGCCGTTAGCTCTTGTGAAATGGAGTGAGCTTTGTTCAGAGAAGCCCGGTAGCAAGTTGCCGGCCATAGAAAAACAGAAGGCTTTCATGGTTCAGGATGAGGTGGAAGCAAGGCATTATTGCCTAGCACCTTCGACCACTGCGCGTTACGCAGGATTTGCTCTCTTTCTGTACTTGTGTTGAATCTTCAGAGATTGTAGAAAAACTACGCATAAATTTAAAAAGTACTCCTATTTCTTTTTTTAGAAAGTTGATTCTTACGTCAAACTGAGATCCGGTGGAGTAACTTCCTCTTGCTGTGGTTCGCTTTCAGCAACAACGGGCTTTTTATTCTTAGTTTTTTCTGTAATCGACAGCGAGCTCTGAATAGGCTGTGAAATTGCTCACTATCAATTTTTTGCTTAGAATATTCCAGAGTCCATATAAACTAAGAAAAAGCATTGAAATTTACAATGGCCCTTGTACAATGTGCATTATTACAGTCTAGTAATAGAATATTTGTCAATATTTAGTAATATCCTCCCAACGGTTTACCGCCTCATCGTGGCTGAGAAGTGTTCCTAGGTGTCAGATTGCGATGTAAGGCGGGTGGATTCATCTCTTTAGCAGGGTCTCCCAAGCTGAGAAGGAGTCCAGCGTTGCCGTTAGGAAGATTAGCTGAGAGTAAACCAATACCATCGACCGTCTTGGCATTAAATTAGTCGCATGCTGTCAAATCTCTCTCTGATCCACAAGGCCTGTGGTGGTGAAGACCTGAGCCAGACTTTCTGCAGGCTGACCTCGAGATTCCAAGGAGCTCCCAATGGCTGAACCAGCAAATCTCCGAACAAATGGGGATAATGCTGGGGACCGCACAATCGATGAGGAGTGGTCATCCAAGTATCGATATTTAAAGTGGTACAACGAAGACTTGAGGAAGCCATTTGCTATAGAATAAATAAGACGATGACGGGACTTTTGTGGGAAAGTAGTCATACCGGATTATTTTGCACGGTACTTTTTTCTCGTAATATCTGCGGTAACTTCTTACGTGTCGGTGTTTTTCTAAAACGACTACAAATTAGCTCAAACAGTAGGAGTTGATAGTCTTACTACCGTTACTACCACTTTTATTGCAGGTGTTCTTTTAATGCCTACCAATTCCCTACGATATCAACAATTCATCATAGCGATTTGAATAGATAACAACTAAGAACGCCTCTGAAAGGTTTTCCACAAATCATTATGTGCATAGAACAATATTCCCCAGTGCCCGCCTGACATAACATCTGGGCAAACCATCGATTCACTGTGAAAACCGCCGTGAGAACTACTAAAGTAAGCCGTGGAAAAGGAAATGCATCGGATGCTGTAACGCATCTGGTGGTATGTGTTAAAGTATGGTTAACTAAGCCAATAGAAGATTGTGTGAACTATCCTCATACAACTATAACGATGCTAAGATATTTGTAAAACTCCGACCGAAGCCGGAGTCGATCCGATGACTACCTTTTGCAGGAGCTAACTTGTTATCCATTGCAACAGATGCCTTTGCTTTGCTTTTCTCTAAGTCATTTTTCTTCGCAAATATCTCAGCGTCATTGTGGCTGTACTTCACATAGTAACCTTCCGTCAGAAAATTAATAGGCACTGAATAAAAAATTATACATTGTGATTTCGACTGAAGGTTCAGCCCAACTGGGTTCAATGCTTATTTGTGCTCTTCAGATCACTCCCGTTGACGGTTCACTGCCGTTGGCACCGCTAAGGTAAAAAAAACCACTTGAAAAAAAGCCAAAGCAAGGACCTCGCTGATGGAGGGGTAACACGTGAGCTACCGGAAAGCGTAATCTTAGGTTCGGATCTAGCCTGGAGTCCAAGATTTTGCGAAAATCTCAACATCATTGTGGTTGTATTTCACACATTACTCTGCCATGAAAAAATATTAGGAAGCCAACAAAAAAGTGTTTTATCCCTTTAGATAAGTTTGGCACAAATTCGGCGACCCTGAAGTGATAGCGGCACGAAGTGGGATTAAGTTTACGGGCACGCATATATTAGCGGGCACATCTGACCACTGCTCTGAAGGTACTTCCGATAAGGATGTGCAAAAAAGGAACTTCTGGATCAAGTTAAACTTCGAACTTCGAATAACCGTCAAATGTATGCTCTATGTAAACTAACGAGAGATAATTCAAAAGACCGACTTTCTATTAATCTCGGCATGAATAGTTGGTATATTTATTTATATGATCTTATAAACTGATCCTGTTGAGCTCATGCAAGGTTGGTATAAGGTTTCGTTGTTGTTTTGGTTGTTGTCGTTGTCGTTGTTGTTAGTTTAACGTTTTGTTTTCTGCCTTCTATAATTTTTATGGCAGGTTACTAAGCGAAATACAACCACAACGTTGCTGAGATATTTGCAAAACTCTGGACCGCAGGTGTCTATGGTGGGGAACGAACGCGCTATTGTCCTTTCCGGAGAGTAACGCGTTCACCACCACACCATGCGGGTCCTTCGTTTCGCCTGTCTCTCAGCTATTTCTATCGATCTTTTTGCCACAGCAATCACCCGTCAGCGAGGTTGATCTGGGGAGCGCAAATCGGCATAGAACCCAGTTAAGCTATGGCCGTAGTTAAAATCACAATGTTTAACGTTTCGTTTTCTGCCTTCTATAATCTTCATGGCAGGTTACTAAGCGAAATACAATCACGACGTTGCTGAGATATTTGCAAAACTCTGGACCGCAGGTGTCTATGGTGGAGAACGAACGAAAAAGATCGATAGAAATAGCTGAGAGACAGGCGAAACGAAGGGCCCGCATGGTGTGGTGGTGAACGCGTTACTCCCCGGAAAGGACAATAGCGCGTTCGTTCTCCACCATAGACACCTGCGGTCCAGAGTTTTGCAAATATCTCAGCAACGTTGTGGTTGTTGTTAGTGTTTTTTGTCGAAGGCTGACGTTTCGGGGATTTCGCCTTCCTCAGAGCGCTGCATTTACAAGTGGGACTCCAGACGGCTCTTAGAAAGGCAAGTCGCCGAAACGTCAGCCATCGTCCAACAACAATAACAACAACGACAACGAAAACTGGTACCAACTTCGCATCAGCTCAACAAGATCAGTTTATAAGATCATATAAGTAGATATAACGAAAAGTAATGCATTCAGAGAAATACAGCTCCGACGCGATTACACAATGACTGGAAAGATATCAGATCAACGGGATGGATAAGTAGACGATTCAATAGTATGCACAGCGATTTCGTAGACAACATCTGCGAGACTCAAGATTGGACTACACCGTAATCGGGTGTATGAAATGCTTAAATCTACACTCTAATTAATGCTTTACATATTTGCAATATTTTATGGTAATCAAACGAGGTACAAAATGAGGTAGCATTGCTTACCTTTTGTGATTACGTACTACCCTTCTTGGATAAGATTTTTTCACCTTTTTCATCATCTTCAGTCTTGTCATTTGTGGATTGATGTTCTCTGACTTCGGTTTTCGAACCTTATCCGATAGCTCTGACATGGCGACCAGACGCTAGTACGGTTAACAAGGAAATGAATGTGTATTTCAAGCAACGTCGATTGATAAGAAACTGATAAGAGATAAATGGATATGCTAAATATTCAATTCATTTTGGTTACAACAGAAGAGCCCTATCTTGAAAATGGTTCACTTCTAGTTGTTCGAGTTGGAGTTATGCCGGTTATGGGAGCGCGTGGCGGAGTGGTCGGAGGAGCCCTTCGACCCTGCGACACCCACATGGGATCGATTCCCGCGCGCGTGGCTCACCAAGCTTTCCATCCCTTCGGGTTCGGCAAATTGGTGACAGACTTGTCTGGGAGCATAGCAGCACTGGCTTGATACATCAGTAGGCCACTGCGAGTCATTATAAAGACTAAATATGCATTCGATCATCTCCAAGGGCGCTTAATGAAGTCAAATGCGTGACGCATTCCTCAGGGTTTGATCAACGCCGATGGCCTTACATATCTATATTTATGGATTTCTATTTATGTTCCATCTAATACAAATCCATCTTCTAGTCAATGATTTCTCAACTCAACACGGCAACATTTTAGCGTTTATTTTACCAAACCCGAATGTGCGAATTCCACTTCTTCCATCCAATTCAAGTTTTCGTAGCCACAATCCACAAAGGTCTTTCGGTTCCCAAGTGGGTTCGGCTACTGCTTGAAGGCTGTGGTTTTTCTTCACGAAAGTCGTCGAGAGCCGGTCGAGTCGATCCTCCCTTAAATATTTCTGGTAAAGCGTTTCCACGTCCACACCATCACCACAAGCATGCACTTTGCAAACTAGAGTTGGAAGGGAGGAGAGGAGATCATTGAACAAAGGATCCTAATCCAGAACAGATGAGAGGCTTGGTTGGTCCTGGTCAGGTAAAACGATAGCTGGTTACTTTTTATTGAACGACAGCTCTACCATTGTACTACTCACACCACTATTTGGCCTTCAACTCATGTTAATGTGGGAAATTGTATCTTTTGAGACATGGAACCCTTCTTTTGTTTAAACGAACTTGCCAGATCAATAGCGATTACGATTACAGTCGCCTTTGTGAGTTTTTGGTTTCCATTAAGAAACAATATCCACGAAAGAGTGACACCAAGAATATGAATGTTTCTCTCTGCAGCAATTCGTAGGATTTCATAGATGGATAAGTGCTTGCTATGCCAAATTTTTTTACGTTGCCCCATTATACGTTGCCCCAGACAATCACAAATATGAATATCCATGATGATCGATTCACATATTTGTTTTTAGGAAGCCATTTTGTCAGTAAGGAAAGTGATGTTGACATCTATAAGGATGAAGGAAGACCAAATTAGCTTCAATGGAAATCGGATTGACTGTGAATTCTTACTACTAGATACTAACATGCAGTGCGCTATTCTACACGTATCCGTCACTACGCACGTCTTCTCAGACGTTTTTTAATGACTTGATCCAAAACTAACTAATCTGTCTAGAAGACTCCTAGAAACGTTAAAGATCAACTTGAATTTAATAATTTAAATTGCTGGAAATCGTAAACCTCCCAACGGTTTGCCGCCTCATCGTGGCTGGGAGGTTTTCCTGAGTGTCAGACTGCGATGCACAGCGGGGGATTCATCCACTGGCAGGCTCTCCCAAGCTGAGAAGGAGTCTGGGGTTGCCACCAGAAAGCCTAGCTATGAGTAAACCAACAACAGGATCCACCAAACTAGTCGCATGGTGGCGAACCTCACTTTGATCCACAAGCGCTCTGTATAGAGAACATTCTTCACGAATATTGGAATGTTCTCTATGTAAATCAATTACAACCTTATGTCAAACATTTCAAATACTTTTTCCGGTGACCTTTTCTCCATGACGATCTGATAACCTTATGTCAAACATTTCGAATACGGCTTCCGGTGACCTTATGTTGATCCGATAACCACATGGCTAACATTTCGCTGGCGGTTATCTCATGAAAAACATCTGCAGTTACAGTCCTATGTTTTGACTATCGCCTTATCAGATTGCAACGCTTGTGAAAATGTTTCCGGCAGCCGTCCTTCCGCATACTGTAGCCTGACTCCACCTACTGTAACGCGACTCCGCCTATTGTAGCCTGTCTCCGTCCAGCCCAAAAGGTACATAGACGGCTCCACGGCTGACTAGCTCAGTTCACAGCAATGCTGCCCAAATCACCATATCCTTTCCTCACATCGATCTCATGTGGTCGAAGTCATATCACAACCTCTTCACTCTTCAGCAACCTGAACACAAGAAATCAGGCTGCGCCTATTCATTACTTGTATCATTGTTGTATTAATTGTGCAGTTGTATTGTTATGCCATAATTGTTGTATAATTATGATAAACGGTTTAATTACCCAAGTTTGAGGTTTCCAGCATTGTGCTTGCTACTTACAAGAAGTCCCGCGTGGCGTACACAAAGGCGAGCAGCAAACTCCGACCGAATCGAGCCGTCCCAACACTCTGACTGCCTGTGGTGGTGACGGCCTGAGGCAGACTATCGCCTGGTTGACCTCGGGACTCCAGGGAACCACAATGGCTATACCATGAAAACTCCGAAAAAATGAAGATTTTGCTGGAACATCCAAGTAAGCAAATAAGGAAATCATAAAGGCCGTAATAAAATCATGTACAAGGTCAAAAACAAGGCAGAACAAAAATGCTGGTAACAAATGAAAATTTTCATTCAAACCTGATCAACAGAATATAACGTGAACGAAATTGATCAAATGAAAATCAAAGTGACTTTTTCGCGGAAAGAATCTGTGCTTGTGGGTGACACCGGTAGTTTAGCAGACATGGATCATTTATGGCAGTTAAAGACACGATAAAGAATGAACAAAAGCGAGCCATACAACTTGAACGGTTGGTTCCGAATTGAGCACAAAACGGCTGTAGAACGCTTTCATATCATAGTTAATCTATAACGATAGAAAAGTCACTAAAGAAAGAAGTGAAATCCATCGGAGGCAGAGATCAAACGGAAACTTGGACGAGTTTTCCAAAGAAGACTGCGTACCAAGACGAATCGTACGCGATGCGCTGAGTGGACCAAGGCCACCCGAATTATATCCAGCTACCTAGAAAACGACTGATGGATCGAGACATATACACTTTCAAATTCACGTAACGATAAGCCTATTAGAATTTTTCACGGCATGGTATTATGTGATACAACCACAATGGTACTGAGATATTTGCAAAACTCTGGACCGCAGCTGTATTCGGTGGGGAACGAACGCGCTTTTACATTTTCGGGGGCTAACGCGTTCACCCCCACACCATACGTGTCCTTCGTTTCGCCTTTCTCTTTGCTAGTTTCCTATCTACCAGTGCCATCAGCAAACCGGTGGACGGGATCTAAAGTCGATGTCAAAATCTTTTAACACACTTATGTTCTTATGATTCACATGTGACTCATTCTTTGAGCTATTTCTCTTTATCATAACTTTACTTTTTGCTATGGCTTTCGTATTCATTAGATAGCCTACCCAAGATAGATGTTGTTCGAAGTTAAACTGTTCTTAACGTACAATAGTTTACATTAAAAAAAACCACTTTTAAACAAGTTTCCTCCTCTAATTTGTTCTACATGAGCTACAAATGACTTCATGTGAGCGGCCCTAGTTGTGTTAAACACCTCTTCAACAACTTTAAAGCATACTACAATGTTAACGTTTTATTTACTGCCTATTACAATTTTTCATGGTAAGGTATTACGTGTGAAACAAACACAATGATGGATATTTGCACAACTCCGGACCGCAGATATATGCGGTGGGGAATGAAATATAACCCTTTCCGGGGGCTAGCGCCTTCACGACCACACCATGCGGGTCCTTCATTTCGCCCGTTGACGGGTGATTGGTGATGGCACTGATCGATAGAACAAACTGAGACACAGGCGGAACGTAAGACCGCGCTAGCCCCCGGGAAAGGTAACAGCGCGTTCGTTCCTCACCGCGGACAACTGCTGTCCGGAGTTTTGTAAATATCTGAGCATCATTGTGGTATAAAGAATATTACTTTAATAAATAGAAATTAGCTTACTTGAATAGTATACATGTACATAAGCCTAAGACCGTCCAGTCGAGCGCTTGGTCGATCGGGATTCGGTAGCTTTGAGACAGGCATCGTCAGTTTTACTGCTTCAGAAGCAGTTTCCGAAACGTATACAAAAATCTGAAAACTAACCATTATAGAACTGGACAATGTCAATGCAGTAGGTAGTTAGTTTATATTTAAATCAACTTTTTAACCAGAAACATTTCTCGTTTTGTCTTTGGTTCAGGTAAACTAGACCCAGTTAATTCCTTCAGTCGCCATGATCGATATTGTTTAAATCAGTTCTTCCGTTAGTGGATCTTTTGTGCTGATCCCGGCATTTCTTGCATTCGATCAGCTTTCCCTGCACTCATCGTCTACAGAGGTCTTCGAACACTTCGCACTTTGTTTCGATTGCTGTTTAAAGATTTAGACTTCCTTATGGATGTCACAGAACGCTGGTGGTGTCAATTCACCACACAGTCTTGGAGATAGCCGAGTTACCGTGTTTCCATATGGATTAAGAGGTGGTTGAACCGGGACCTTGTCTCCTGATACATCGAATCACTAACCACTACGTTAAAAAAAACCAGAAATGAGGAAATCTTACTTTATATCCCATAGTATCGTCAGTTAAGTTCGTATGTGGAAACTCTATCGCCGACCATTCGATTATTGTAGTATAACCGACGTCGTCATTCTCCTGCAATTACAAACATCGTACGGAAATCATTTAGAAACAAATTCTTATTGTGTAGACAGAAATAAGAAGAACACTGAAAGCATCACGCTCACCACTGTTTTAAGTGAGAGCTTATTGATAATAGGCGCTTCCGATGGTGGTTTTTGCTTTGTGATAATCTCTAGAACTTTACTGGTAGCACCATACTTTCCCTGAAGATTCAAATTCGAAAAGAAAAATCAATAAGTTCTTTGGAAAGTGCTTCGAAAAACATCGAGAAACATTATCTAAACCAAAACAACAAAGGAAAGTCCGTTTGATTCAAGTGGTTTTATACCCATTGCGGAATGTCCTTTCCAGGCTTAGAGGATAGGTTATTTCAGCTGTTCAGTTACATACCTCATTATCCATTGGCTTCAGCAGACACTCATACTTGGTGTTCGCATCAAGGCCACCCAGAATCCAATCGGAAAACTCGCCCGAGACGGTGACAAGTTGAGTCTCGTGATCAGGTGATGAACAAGAGAGCTGTAACGTTGAAAATTTGGCGCAGAACAATTTTTTCCTCATATGTCCTTTCATAAAATTAAAACACTAAACAATATTAAAAAATAATACCAACAAATAGACACATAGAAATTATCGTTATATTTATTTGCACTATTTATTTGCTTGTTTTATTTATTTACTTCTATTCTACGGGTGGCGGCAAGCGCAATCACGGTGATACCGCTCAGTATGAGCACAATGGTGGTTCGACACCGAACCGGCTCCATCAAGCCTCTAAACGCTTGTTTGGGATCATTTCATTTTTCCCAATTAAGTAGTCATTCCAATAAATACACAATTATTGGATTTGGAATGATTATTGGAATGATTTCCTCCCAACGGTTTACTGCTTTATCGTGGCTTCGAGGAGTTCCTGGGTGTCGGACTGCGATGTAGAACGGGGCATTCATCCCTTGGCAGGGTCTCCCAAGCTGACAATAAGTCCGTCGTTTCCATCAGGAAGCCTAGCTGAGCGTAAACCAATGCTAGGATCCACCACTGCCCTGGTATCAAAGTCGCATGGTGGTAAATCTCCCTCTGATCCACAAGGGCTGCGACTGCACATGGTGGTGTAGACCTGTTGCAGACTTTGATCACACTGACCTCGGGACTCCAGGAAGCCATAATGGCTTAACTAGCAAATCTCCAAGAAGTGGAAATTATACTGGAGGCCGCACAACCATTGAGGACGGGCCATTCAAGTATCAAGTATCAAGTATTGGTAATTTTACAAATTATTGCAAAAAAAACCGCAGTGAAAGTGTGATCCAAATGTACGCTAATGCAATAAAAGCTCTAGAAAAAGCTCTCGGCGTTGATCAACCCCTGAGGGATGTTCCGCTCGCTCTAGGGACTCGTCGAGCATCATATATTTCCTCTAGACTCTTCGTGAAGAACTCTAACCATCGAGTCGGCCGTCTTCCTGCAGTGCGTTTAACAACCCGAGGAATCCAGTCACTAACGGCCCTTGTCCATCGGTTGTGATTCATGCTGCTTGGCGTACAGAACGCGTCTTTCACTTTTGATCGTTGGCGTAGGTCGGAGCTTCGGATCCCTTCCTTTACTTGCGCGACACGCAATAAGCGGTGAAATATTGTCCATAGAAATATTCGAATACATTCAGAAAAACGTTTTCTATTTCCTTCTTAATGAGCGCTCATCAGTGAAGAATATAAACCTATCTCAGTTTTTTTTTTCATCCCAAAACAAAAAAGTACAAGCATTGGAGGAAATAAGAACACGAATATTAAAAAATTAAAATTTTGCAAAAAAAAACAATAAAAATTTGTTAGAACACAAGGGTGAATCTTTTTCAGGTTTTATTCAGTGAAAATTCTAGGGGCAGAGTGATTCGGACCTGGACAGCATGAGCTTTTCCGCATTCGTTCTTATTCTGCCATTCCCATGAAAATGACACATGCGTTGAATTCAATGCACTGACGTTCGTAAACGAGAGATATCGTGGTTCACCTACAAAGAATTTATTTACCTCAGGATTGACTACTAATAAACGTTACCACTTCAAAACCGGCTTTTCTTTAACCTCGGTATAACCTGATCAGTATGCATTCTTTCCTTGATAAGCGTACACGAGGTTGATAACATTCTTTATTTTCGGCTAACGTTTCGACGGTGTTGTCTTCATCAGAGCTAATGATCCGAGTCGATGGTCCACATAAGACGCCACCTCGAGAACACGGACAACTGTAGAGCATCGGCTCGGATCATCAGCTCTGATGCGGACGAAACCGTCGAAACGTCAGCCGAAAATAAAGAATGTTATCGAGCTCGTGTAAGCTTATCAAAGAAAGAATAGATAATGTTACCGTTTTTTTTGTTACCGAATAGATAATGTTATTGCTGATGGCAAAAAAGATCGATAGAACTAGCTGAGAGACAGGCAAGACGAAGGACCCGGATGGTGTGGTGGTGATGTGCGCTGCTCCCCGGTAGAGACAACAGCGCGTGTTCGTTCCCCACTGCATACACCTGCGGTCCGGAGTTTTGCAAATATCTCAGCATTTCATACAAATGCTGCCGTTGTTTATTGCACAGGTTTTTTTGTATACCATAAAGAAACCATAGCGTTATACACTATCTTCAAAAAAAGAGTCCTACGAAAAATTTTTCACTCTTTGGAATTGGATATATTGTTAGCTGCAATTGAATGTATATCTAAAATCTAGAAAATATTTAGTTAAAACGTCCAAAAATATCCAAACTACAGAAACTATTGAGTGAGACCCACTCAACTCATACTTGAATACTTACTTGGACGGCCCATGCTCACTGGTTGTGCAAGTCCCAGCATATTTTCTATTTACAGGAGTTTTGCTGGGTTAGCCATTGTGGTTCTCTGGAGCCCCAGAACAGTTTGACCAAAGTCTGGCCCAGGTCGTCACCACCACAGGCAGTCGTCCTTATGGATCAGTGGGAGATTTGTCACCATGCAACTAGTTTGATACCAGGATGGTGGTGGATCTTGGTATTGCTTTACTCATAACTGAAATTGCTGATGGAAACGCCGGACTGTTTCTCAGTTTGGGAGACCCCGCTTAGGGAAGAATCTTCCGCTGTTGATCGCAGTCCGACACCTAGGAACACCTCCCAGCCACAATGAGGTGGTGAACCGTTGGGAGGAATCAACTCATATGGTAGCAGAATCAGCTAATTTGCCTTCAATTTATTTATATATTCGAGGAAAGACGGGAGATTTTTGCAAAACCTCGTCTAAGAAAGTAATTATTCTCCGTTCGGTCTTTGCCAATATGGTATTAATACTTGTTACTATAATGATTTTGGTTTTTGCTTAACTATAATACTCTCTTAGTAACTCAAATCAAAGCGCACGGTCTTTCGGGAAACGATTAAACAATTTTATAATTGCTATCAAAAATGACAATAGGAGATTTAAGAGTGATTTACAACGCAGGTGAGGAGAAATGCCGCAATAACACTTAGAGATGAAGAACATTTAGGAAATCCGTGGTTCTAGGCTATCTAGTTGCTGTTTTCCTCAAGCTTTCCTAACGATATGTTAAGATCGTTTAGACCATGCCTGTAGAACAACATATAAAAAAGATAAAGCTCTCGGCGTTGATCCCAGGGGGACGCGCTACTTCATAAAGTATCGCTGGAGACGAATGGATGCATATCTGGCCTTTACAATGACTCGCGGTGGCCTACCGATATATCAAGCCAGTGCTTCTATTGTCTCAGACAAGTCTGCTGCTACCAATCTGCCGATCCCGGAGGGATGGGGAGCTTGGTGAGCCTTGGGTGCGAGGATCGATTCCATGTGTACTGCAAAGCGCCTCAGACCACTGCGCCACACAGAACAACGTATGACACCGAACTACCCAGCAACGATCATTTCGTATTCAGATACTAAAAGATCTCGATATACAAGTAGATGGTTCTATTAAAGCTAGGGGGTAAAAGATTGAACCGTCGACAACAAAATGTCAGCAGCTCCTTTTCCCCTTAGTGGTTGAAACTTGTAAAGGCTTTCCTGTAGAAAGCACTGGAATTTCAACTTTAGACAGCATTCAGTAAAAGTTGAACTAAGTTAAATTAAGGCTTTATCCACCAGTGAAATACTCTAAGCAAATGGTATTCAAAAGTGTTTCCTTCTCACTAATCGAGGATACACATTGAAGTCATTTGCAGTAATGATCAAAATTTACAAAGGGAATATGCAGTAGGAAAATTTTTTCACATTCTCCTTTTAGAACTCAACTTCTGTGTGCGATAGAGCCAGCCTGTGTGCTCTTATGGTATCAAAACCTACAGATTACAAAAAGGGATGGAGTTATGAGATACTTCACACCCAACTATTTGGCGCTGTGGTCGTAGGCGCACTGCAACATACACGTGAAATAGATCTCCTCGCCCATGGTCCACCAAGTAGCAGACTTGTCTGCGAGGATAGCAGCACTGGTTCACTGCATCGGTAGGCCACCGCGAGTCATTGTAAAAAGTCATTACGTTCATTCGATCACCTCCAAACGATGCTTAATGAAGTCGAATGCATGATGCACCTCTCAGGCATTGATCAAATCAACGCTGAGAGCTTTATCCTTTATCCATTATCTAACCACTTATATTTACAATTATTCATGGAAATTGTTACAAAAACGGCTTAGATTCGTGCCTTAGCGAAAGTTTTTCTTTCAAAGTATTCAGTAATGTTTAGTGAGAACAAACCATTACGATGCACATACGCAACCGTGTCGGTGCTGATCAATCCGGCACCTTGGTCATTTATCGGTCTAACGGAGAACACCAACATGCGACATTCTTTGGAGTTGTTCAGCTTCAATATTGCTTGTGGTGATTTCGTTTCTGTAATGAATACGTTATCCACTACCTTGTTTTCGAATAGTCCTCAAGAAATCCCTTCAAGTGGTCCAATACTTTATTCAAAAGTCCACGTAGATACTTGTGCTTTCACCACAATAAACAAACTGATTTTAACAATTACCAATGTGGTACACAAAAAATTTCCGTCCATTATTTTCAGGATCGTCAGTCAGATAAGCGTCGTCGACTGACCACGACAGGCGATACCGTAGATGATCACCAGAGTGATGTACCTTAAAGAAGAATTCAAGCGTGTAACATGAAATAACATGTAATATTCTATTTGTAATTTGAAAGTGGGCTCCAACCGCCTCCACCGGGTTCCACTCGACAAATATTGTGCTGTTGTCGAGTGATCTCCATCGAAGACCGTCGATTGTCTCCGAAGGAGCAGCCGGTGGGGTCTTGACCCATGGCGACGGTGATGATGGTTCTCCCATCGTAAATGCATCAACTGTTCGCACACGGAACTGAAAACGAATTTTTTATCTTTACAATAAATAAAGGCAATGAAGCATTATTTCCTATAAGAAAAACGAACGAAATAAACCTGTCTAATGACACAGAAAGATCATGTCTAGCAAAGCCTAACTAAAACTTTAATAAATTCTTTATCGAAAAAAGGAATCTTCTTGATCGACGTCGGTGTTCTCAACAGATCCTTTTGTTGAGAAAATCACCGAAGGCTTGCTGAAACATATTTCATCATTCTTAACCCATTGATGCCGCCAAGAAATACATGACTCATATTTGGAAAGCACATCAGACGGCAGGAGTCCTATATAAGTCATTTACTTATCAGCTACATATTTTTTTGCCGGACTTTCTACATTCGTTCGATAGCTAATTCGAGTGAGATGTCGTCACTCCCCTAAGCCAAGAAGCGTTATTTATTTAAATACTGCAGTTTGAAACTTATGCACATCTTACCAAGTCGTTAGAAGATGGTAAATCATGGCAAGAAATACCGCGCGTACTCCCACAAACGAAATACGGCAAAACAATATTGCGCAGTGGTTTAGGATTAACATTAAGCAACACCATCATTTGAGAAGAAAAACATTGAGAAAGGTACATAAATAGCGCAAAAAACTATTCAGGAATAAAAAAAACACCTGGTATAGAGTGTTGGGGACAAGGTCGTTGAGTGTGATGCTGTGTGATTCGCTTTCCGCCACTACTCGACGAGGAACTGCTCGCCATTGACGATCTTCTTTCGTTCGTAATTCCACCAGATATCCACCAACAAAATCCGTCTGATAAGCAAAATATCTTGCGTTCCAAGTATTAACTGAGTTCAAGAAGTAACGTTGGCTACATGACTACCGACTGCTGCCATTATATTATTAGAGGCGTTAGTACAATGAGTAACACGCGAGTCCCTGGAATGGGTAATCGTGTATTCGAATCTAGCCTGGGGTCCAAGTTTTAAAAATATCTCAGCATTATTGTGGTTATTATGCTATTGTTATCATGAAACCACTGTTGTTTTTTCCTAGATGCAAGACTTTCATACGATATGTTTCCTTCTCTAAGTAGAGAGCGATTGCGTGAACGATAAATTTTTTCTCTAAAACATATACATCCTATCATTGCCGAGGTTAGATGAAGATCGTTTTAAAAGAATCATATCGTATGATTAAAATCAAACAAAAATACCGGCTCAAAAATTGGTTGAGTCGAATCATATTGTTCTAATTGCCGCGTTAACCGTATTAACTGTTGATACTCCTACAAACGGTTTACCGCCTTACCGCGGCTAAGGGGAGCTCGTGGGTGTCGGACTACGATGTGCAGTGGAAATATTCATCCCCTCGGTAGGGTCTCCAAAGCTGAGGAGTCCGGTTTTTCTATCAGGAAAGCTAGCTAAGAGTAAACCAGAAGCCACCATCCTGGTGTCAAAGTCTCATGGTGGCAAATCTCCCTCTGATCCAAAAAAGCTCTGAGTGCCAGTGGTGTTGACGACCTACAGCAGACTTTGGCTAGGCTGACCTCGGGATCCAGGGAAACACAACAGCTGGAGCAGCAAAACCTCGAAAAGTGAAAATTATGCTGGGGCATGCACAACCACTGAGGACGAGCAGTCTAAGTTTTCAAGTATCCAAGTAACTATTCATACTACTACTACTACCAGTAACAACACTAATGACAGTTTTAACTTTTTATTTACTGCCTATTCTTTTTAACGCCAGAGTATGCTGCGAAATATAACTTTCGTAATGCTGAAACATTTGCAAAACTCCGAGCGGCAGGTGTGTGCTGTGGAGAACGAACGCGATACTGTCCTTTCCGGGGAGTAAGGGAGTAACGCGTTCACCACCAGTCCTTCGTTTCGCCAGGTAGTTCCATCGATCACTTGCCATCAGAAATTATCCGTCAACGAGATTGATCTCAGGGGCCCAAATAGGCATTGAACCCAGTTAAGCTGAGGCTATAGTTATAGTCACAATCTTAACCTTTTTATTTCCTGCCTATTCTTTTGAACAAAAGAAAAATTAAAAAATGGTGAACGCGTTACTCCCCGGAAAGGGCAATAGCGCGTTCGTTCCCCACAGCAGGCACCCGCGGTCCGGAATTTTGCAAATATCTCAGCATTACAGAAAACTAATAATAGTGCCGATAATAATAACGATGACAACGATGATAAGGAGTATTCTCAATCAAACCCGTTTGGTTTTCTGCTCAATTTCGTATATAGTAGTGATTTATTAAGTTGAACCGATTTTCAGCCAACTTCAGCTTTAGAAAAAACCATACTTCGGATGTTAGATAATCTTCAGTTGTTTAGAAGACAGCCTTTTTATAAACCTCGTCATAGATAGTTGATATACTTATTTATGTGATCTTATAAATCGGTTTTGTTAAGCTGATGTGAGGTTGGTATTGTTAGTATTATTGGTCGAAGGCTGACGTTTCGGCGATTTCACCTTCCTTGGAACCGTCTGGAGTCCCACTTGTAACAGCACGGCTCTGAAGGCAAATTCACCGAAACGTCAGCCATAGACCAACAACACTGACAGCAACGACAATAAGAACGACAACGACAACGAAGACCTATACCACCCTCGCATTGGCACAACAAGATCGGTTTATACGATCATATAAATAAATAAATCTTCAGTAGCTAAGTGAACGGACTATAAGCAGTGAGCAATGCAGTACATTTGCCAAGCAAGTAGTCAAAGGTCCGACGCCCGACGTCTGTAGTGCAAAATTTAGGTGGTTTCAGAATTGGAGAATCTGCCAGAAAGTTCGTTTGTGAAAAATAAACTACAGCTTATTTTTCCAATTTATCTCAAGTCTTTTAAAATATTTGCCTCATCCCTCTTCCTCTCCTCAAACCTCACGCTAGTCACTATACCGTACAAATTCTCACTCATTTTTTCTACTGGACACAAGAACAGAAATAAGAGTGACCATAATAGTCTATTCCCTATACTGAGTTTTTACTTGCCTTTACGTGACAAAAAACCTGAAGTTCTGCTGTTCCGAGGCGGTAAAGGAGTAGTGTCTTCTCCTCTTCATTTCTCACCTCTCCACTGACAGCATGATTTCTTGTGTCCCTGTGGGCGTTGATGGATCGTCTCCACATCAAGCGAACTGTCTGTTGGTCTTGTTCGACTTTCAACGCCAATGGAGCTGGTAAGAATGGACGATATGGTAGATCTATACTATCTTCACCATAGAGCGAATAACACGCTACCCTTTGTGGTTGGTCAGCTTTCGTTCGTGTTGAGATCTAAATGGGCTTAACATACTTATTTCAACCATCATAGGAGTCGTAGGATCTCCGTCCATGATCTGACAATATTACATTGTTTTTTCTTAAAACACTGCATCAACCATTATTCATCCGACTTTTATAGAAAAATTACAGCCACAATGCAGCATTGAAATTGATTAACTACTGAATAGTGATTAAACTCGCCGAAACTACCTGGATATCCACTTTCTGTAAGAGTTGTCTTCCTCTTGCAGATTGATAAGTTTGTTCACGAAACTGCAAAACTAGAGAGATTAGCGCAATATTACCACTAAAATGAGAGACAAAATGATAAATACTGAGCAATCTCTACTTTGGTTTTAAAATGGAGTCCAGGCATGAAATTCACGGAACGGTTATCGAATGTCCACTGAAATAATGCCTCCGGACAATCGGTAACTCGTCCGCAATCGATTTCCACCGAACACGATATGTTTATGGTGCCTTGGGCAGGTTGAGGAGGAATCGCAGATTGAACTCGCACTTGGGCTCTATCTGAGAAATCAAGAGTACAGCAATGAGCACGGTTTGACAGACTCTTCCTTAACGTCACTTACCTAAAACAATCAATTCGACTTGCGAATGCGCTTTGCCGAGTCGATTATGTGCAGTACAAAAGAAATACCCAGCATCATCTTAACAGGACAAAAAAACAAATTTCTCTCAATCTTAAGAAGTTATTAAGAAGAAATGCTCTCAGAAATTGAAACACTTGATCATGCTGACTAAGTTTAAATGTGTTTACCATGTAATACGTTCTCGATGATAAGCACACCGTGTCGATCACGAACTCGTCCCTTATGCGGCAATTTAGCCCCACCTGCGTCCGCCCACCGACTATGTCCTCTGGGAGAGGCGTGATAGAAGCAAGGAATCGACTAAAGAAAAACAACTCGTTTTTCTAACACTTTAAAGCTTTTATATCAAATTATATTATCTTACCAGTGCAACAAGATGTCGATGGCTTTACTAAAGCGTTCTGGTGAAGAAAATCAGTAGACAAGGTAGTTAATCACTTGATTAAAATAAGTGATTGAAAATAAAACACCTCTGATACCGAAACGGGTTCTACCGCTTTATTACCTTTACCACTGTTTTAGTAATATTTTAGTGGGTAAGTTGTTCTCAAATGGTGGTAAAAATCAATAGTTATCTTTTCATGGTGGTTACTGCATCCATTGCCTCCACCGTCAGACTTCAACACTGCGTTTGATGAACATTCATTTTTCACTCCATTTCGTGTTAAATTTGTCCAACACTTACCAATAAACTTCCATTAACTGCGAAGATTTTTCGCGGCATGGATTGACGTAGGAAAATTGGCGCCGAGTCCCGGACGAGTACGTAGGCCGACGATGATGCCACGCCCACCTCGTTACTCACTATGCACTGATAAACTCCAGAGTCGGATGTGGAAGTCGAATTTACAACGAGCCTGAATTCGAAAAATTTAATGCTTGAAAGAAGAGTAAAAACTTCCCAATAATGTGGAGTGAATGTTAACGAAAACTAAACGAAGCTTGGTCTTTCAATAAAATATTTCAAGGGAAGAGTAATTTGTGGAAGCTTAACTAAAAGGTTGGGGCAGATTGCACAGTGGTAGTGATGTCCGCCATCACCAATAAGGTGCTAGTTCGATTCCGCTCCGTGCCAACCAAGCCTCTCCTCCTTCCGGGGTCGGAGAATTGGCACCGGACTTGTCTGGGAAAAAACCACTCTGTGCAACCCAGCTGGGAACGCTACAGCCCGGCTATCTAAGGACTCTAGGGAGAATTGCTCAACCAGCATTCTACGACATTCAAGGTGAAATGAAAATCCTCAAGCAGCAACCGAAGCCACACGTAAAGTTGGAAGACCTTCGTGGATATTGAATGCGAGAAAACCAATGAACGCGAGAAGTGCTGGGATCCGCACAGTTGACGCGAAGACAGATCGATTGAAATAAAAAAAATAATAAAAGGTGCTCACCTATTGTGATCAACATGAAAACGCTTTCTTCGTTCAGAAGGCATCAGAATTGGAACGATTGGCTTACCATCCTATAAAAATGGTAGATCTCTATGTCAACTTTTTATTTACTGCTTATTGCAATTTTCCGCATTGTGATTTCGATTACAACCTAAGCTTAACTGGGTTCATTGCCGATTTGGGCACTCCGGATCAATCCCGTTGACGGCTGACTGCTGATGGCACTAATCGATAGAAAACTAGCTGGGAGACAGACGAAACGAAGGGCCTCGGAAAGGGTAATAGCGCGTTCGTTCTTTATAGTAGACACCTGTGGTCCGGAGTTTTGCAAATATTTCAGCATCATTGTGGCTAATAGATCTCTATTTCCTCATTTTCATCATTGCTTGGAATTCAGTGCATTATAGAAATTTCAAAGGAAATCCCAAAGATATAAACAGAGAAGGTTATATCGCAAAGAAGGTTAAACTAATTTAAATCGTCAAAAAAATTGGGGCCTAAATAATTTCCAACCTTTATTTACTGTCTCTTATTTTTTCATAGGAGGGTATTATGAAAAATACGACCACAAGGATGCTGGGATATGAGCAAATCTAGGAACCTCGCTGGGGCTTCCAACCTGCCATTACTCTTTCTGAGGTCTCACGTTTTACCCACTGCACCACTGAGGCCTCTGGTTTATCGTTCTCGCAGCCAGTTTGTAATAGGTAACAAGTGAGCACTCGGAAAGAGTAAGCGGGAATCTGACCTGAGTCTGAATTTTGCAAATATCTCAGCATCACTGTGGTTGTATAATCTGAATATTCAATCAGAAGTCGAGTCGTTTTTCTCAAATTTCTTTCTTCGTAACTAAATCCCTTCGGTTCTATTGAACCTAGGTAGTGAAAGAATAAACTTAAATCAGAAGAACAGTATAGAATGAAATAATTAATTAGACGAACTTCTTAGAGTTAAAAAGAGGAACCTGTTTCTGATTCGCTGAGAAGAAAACGATGGTGACATACAAGTGGTACTGACCTTGAACCATTCAATAGATGAGTGTTGATCTGTTGTCGACAAAGGACATTCAAGAATCAAGTCCGAATCGGTGGCCACATGCCGGTCGGACAACGGAATAACAATAGTGGGAGCAGCTAAAAACTGATAAGTTGATCTTGCTATTATCGTTTATTGATCACCGACGTCCCCATCTAGTCATCCTATCACTATATCATTTGGGATCACTCAGCTCTGCTGTAAAAATGTAACATGCGATTTTACTTCAAAAAAAACTGCTCAAATATATGAAAAATGTATTTGATGTTCTCGATCAGGCCAGGTCTACAACTTGAAGAGCTTATGGATCCAGCCAGATCGGTCGAAGAATCGAAGAAATTGCATTTTTAATCAGATGTGTCAAATGAATAGTTGGAGAAGAGTTTGCCGATGCTACAAATGCTGACAATCTCATCAATGGTAAAGATGAATATTGATTTTTGAGACCCATTTTTCCATGCGCAGGCTAGTTACCGCATGTCTTCCTGAGTTTGGTGACCTTATCAGCAGAATTTAAGCCACAATACTCTTTCTTTGTCAAAATTAAAATTGTTCAAACATTTAAAACTGAGAGAACGTACATCTAAGAGTGAGCGTGACTTCCTTAGCTGCTACTCCAAGTGAATTTGCAGCTGAACACCTGTATCGTCCTATATCGCTCAATTCAACGGAATCTATTCGTAGTACTCGGCCATGATGCATCAACAGAGATATCTTATTCAGAGTTTTTCCATCAACACGACTCCACTTATAGGTTGGAACAGGACTGAAAACTATGTATGCTTTCTCAGATGACGGCTGAAGTACATCATATTCGTTTCGAGAATTTATTATTTTTTCTTGCATTCTATTGTAATGAATTGTGATCAGAAATACAACTTCGGGATCGAGTAACGATGTCATGTAATACGCGGACAGCCTAAGCTACTCAGGTGCCGATCCGACGTCGCCCCGTACTCCCAAAGCTCCTCAACCCTCCGAGGTGGGAATATTGTACCAAACTTGTCCGATACAAGCTCACTACGTCTTGTATACCGGGAACGCACTAGCTCTGCTATCCCAGGATTCTAGGAAGATTCAACTGGACCGGCTTTAACGAAACTTTTAAAGCAAATGAAAAATCCTTAACGTGCTGCCGAACCTAGGCGCGAAAATTTCGAAGACCTTCGTGAATGACGGGTGCGAGGAAACGAAATGAACGCAAGAAATGCCGAAGCCTACACAGTGTGATACATGTGTTGTCTGGTGATTTTATGATAGGAATAATGATTAAAAGATAAATTCACTCAATTTATTGTTAGGATAGGGCGCATGAAGGAGCACGTGTTGCACAGTGGTTGGAGGCGCCACTGCACACACACGTGGAATCGATCATCAATCCCATGCTCCACCAAGCCTTCCATCCATACGTGGTCGGCAAATTGGTACCAGACGACTTATCTGGGAGGCTAGCTGCATTGGCTCGATACTTCGGTAGGCCACCACGAGTCATTGTAAAGGACAGATATGCATTCAATCACCTCCAACGATACTTAATGAAGTCGAATGCATAGCGCATCCCTCAGGGATTGATCAACGCCGAGAGCTTTATCCTTTTATGCTTTATAGGGCGCGAGAAGCGCTGTGGTTAGTTTTGCTCTGCATACAAACATGCTTATTGGTTCGATCCGGCGCCCGTGCTAACCAACCTTCCATTCTTTCGAGATCGGCGAATTAGTACCAGTCATATCTCAAAAGGTAAAAACACAAGTTAACACATTGGCATTGTACTACAAGTTATTATATGGCCCTACTATGCAACCATTCACATCTATGATGCTACGAATAGAATCTAAGGTATAGTGCATTCCAAAGGGATTGGTAAACACCGGACGCTTTATCCTTTATCACATCGATTACCAGTAATTTCTCCACTTCTCGCTTCTGCCTTGTGGGCCCCGTTTGTTCGAAGGACACGAAAAACATCACACTTCTCGCTGTTGATAATGACATCGAGAGTTAGAAGTTTTTTTTACACGCTAGTCAAAAACAAGAAGAAAAACTTACTTTCCATAAGCAAAGCACTCTAGGTAGATAGTAGATCCGACAGAAGGCGATTCAGGAAAAATTTGTGGTTGCGTGGTGTCAAGTCTGGGAGCGAACGTCGTCTGCGAGACTGGAACGTGAAGCCGAAAAAATGGTCCATAGTGGCCAGACTGGGTGTAGGGCAATGAGAGCGAGCAGGCGTAGCTAAAACACTTCTACATGCGCTGAATTTGAGCATGAAAAATTCCATAAAGGAAAAAAACCTGCCTCTAGAACAAAATACTTTTTAAAAAATACTTCATCTGCAACATATTTATCCTCTTAGAAAAGGAATACCGCAGTAATATTGACATGTTTTTAAAAGTCCCCTACAACTATCCACGCTTCGCAATTATGGCTCCGATTTTTATTTGAACGTCTTTTCTGTCATCGGAGGCTGATCCTTCGGCTGGCAATGATATAAATAGAATCTAGTATCGCACCAATACCGTGCTCATTTGTGTCAGGTGCTATGACGTCACTTCATGAGAGAATGCGGAAAATATCGCTATTGTTAGTAGAAAAAAATGACAAATATGAAAGCAAGAAGCTCTAGTCTTTCCAATCGCAGATTACGCTAAGCGTGCTTAGACTAAAAGGATATCTTACTTGGATCTCTGCCCAAAACGGTAAAAAAAGACGTTGAAAATCTACCACAGAATGCTTGAAATGTTCGAAAGAAAAACGAGAATGCTCTTCCATTTTAAACATTCTAGTCGAATTTGTCAAATTTTCCCCCTTTCACCTAGTTTATAATAATTAGAAATCAATGGATTCAGATTTTATTCCTGGAGAGAGTAAGTTAGAAGTGCTATATTATGGAAATCTAGAGGATGGTGTAGAATTAATGCTGAAAGTTCGACAAATTACGTTTGCAGGTACGACACACCAGAATACGAATATCGGAATTGTGTCGTCACTTGTTGGCACATTGTTGGAAAACACTGAGAAGGAACTTCACTACAGTATCTTTCTAATAATTTGTAGAGCTTTCTGTTGTCAAAACACTACCAGGAAATCCAGCACCACAACTGATTATAGTCCCATAACTAAAGTTATGAGTTTTCTGATATTCAACAACCTTCCCATCTAGTTATTGAAAACAGCTACGTTTTCTAACGCCATATAGTATATGCCGATTTCAGTTGCAGAACCTATTAATGCACCGATCTATCAGCTTTACCTTGTTTCATCATTCTTGGTCACGTAGGAAAAGTAGAGAGTACCATCAAGTGAGACGAGTGTTCGTTCTGAGTTCGGTAATATGCGTTCAGTTGAGGAGTCGTATAACCAGAGGAATGAGTACGACTCTAAAATTTACTAGGATCCATATATAAAGTAAAAGACCGTAGTTCAACCAGAGGAATGACAAAGAAGACCTCACCTTATTTTGTATTTTTGTGGAGAATATAGTAAGTTAGAAATTTATGATTAAGTGAATGGTTGGGAATAAGAAAAATAGGTCGCTTTTTAAAATAAGTGACAAAAAAGGTCTAGTTTAAAGATTACTACATTCTATCCCATTACACCCAGCAAGAAATACAGTAAAATCATGGACAGGTTTAGAGAGTAACACTTAAATAAATATTTTTATTAGTGGAACCAAACAGAGGAACAAGATTTATTTGAAAAAAGACTATTGTGCCAAGTCTGACATAAAAGTGTGCGAGTGCTGGTGTTGTGCATTCATTGGTGCAATGATGGTGCAGTGCTGAATATTGGTGCAATTTGAATGGTGCAAAATCTTTCTCAACAGAAACCGGCTCTCATTAGTAATCAATTATTGATTTAAGGTCTCTTTATTATGCAGCATGGTTTTAGATCGTAGACTAACTACTTTTCAACCTTAATTTCTATCCCTATCACGTTTATTCGTTAAGTATTTCTAAGTCCTTACAGTTACACGGATATTTATGGATTCATAAACTCTTCAGAATCATTTTCAACCGCGTTTTCTTCTTTCCTCTTTTCTTTTTCTAAACAAATTCTTCTACCAGTTATACAATAGCACTACATTCATGTGGTTTGAAACATATGTTAAAAAGCTTAGAGAAGAAAGCTTATTGTTTTCACATGATTTTCTGGTTTTTCAAAACTGACTCAAACCTGACTCACATTGACCTAGCTCACATCAAAAGTAAATGAATTTTTAACACATTAGGCCCTTCAATTGTATTGTAATAGCAATTCACTAGCTAATTCCTAAGGAATAAAGATCAACAGTGAGAACATAGAAAACCTATCCCAGTAAGGAAATATTGCTTCGACCTAGGGAGCATTTCTTTCTGTGGTTTTACTGGTCGAAAACTAATCTCAATATGGAAAATGACAGCATGTTTTCAACTAGTCGCGATATCATCACTGATGTGATAAGGTGCGACGACTTCGAATGTGATAAACTCGTTTCCTGACACTACCAAAATATTTCGAAAATGCCTGTTTTCCGATAACAATATAATGTTAAACTACGCCCAACGACTCGGACAAACCAAAAAAACTTTAACGTTGTTTTCGCACTCTAAGCGCGTTTCGGGAGCGTTCTTGCACAGTTATACTAGGATTCCAGAGAGAGCCAGTTCAACGAGTATTCAACTACATTCGTGGCGATGACAAAAAAATCTCAAACAGCAGCCGAACCCAGAAGCAAAAAGTTCGAAGACCTTCGCGGACGATGGATTCGAGAAAACGAATCGGATACGGAAAATGCTGGGGTCCACCCAATATGATCTATGCCATCATGTTATAATACCAGTAAAGAAAACGGAAGCAATGGATGTACACCACTTAAAAAAATTCTGTTCAGAATTTTTACTTCCTTAGATTATTAAGCTAATACAAAGTTGATAAAAATGTTTATTTAGCTAACGTTTCGTTTTTGTCCTCTTCAGAGCCGATGATTCGATGATTACGTGAAATATACATTAGAATTTTTACCTAATAAAAAGTCTCCTTTTCTCTGATTGTCAACGCAAGTGCGAGTGCAAGTAGGTGCAATAATATGCGAGTGTAGTGGTCGTGTATGGTGAACATAAGGTAAAATAGATTCTGTAGAAAACTGTTTTTTCCTACCAGAGTTGTGAAGAGTGCGAGTGCTATACTACATAGGTTATTATCTAGGTTGGTGGATTAGCACACCTTTTAAAACATTTTGTTAAGAAGATGAGGTTCTGTTAACGAAGAGACTGAGGACAGGTGAACTTTCACAAACAAAACCGGAAAAAAACGATCAGTATCATTTCGTCTCAATAAATGGGAACCAACAGAATAAATCTGACTGTATTAAACCCACTCCCAGACAGCTCACAGCCGAGCACCGCACCCCCAGGCATATCAAAAATGTTTATTGGCATATAGTCATCTTTTCTGCTCCAGAAATTCTTCTTCAGTGATCAGAATTCGTGAGACTACAAATAGTACCTAAGAACCATTTTTCAAAAAAAAAAATTAAACAGGACTTCGCCCAAATGGATTTTTTCTGTGGACGAATTGAGAAAGAATGACCAAAAATTGATGAAAACAATGATATCATTCTTTTGAAAGTAAAGCTACATGCTGTATGTCTTACTCAGGATAAACTAAGAGCTGTTCTTTTTTTCGACGCCACCAAACAAAGCACAGTAGCCTGTCAAAAACTTGCATAATGACTAAGTGGTACGCATAACAGCCGTCAATCAATACGTATCCTATGCAGTACCGAGTTCTAAACGTTTTTCAAGCACGCTATCACTGCTTTCAGCTTTAAAGCACATTTTTAATGAATAGCTATTCATACGCTCTTGTGGACATTACTGAAAGCTAATTGTTTCACTAAAATGGCTAGGACGTTGAATGTATTGAATGAGGCGGTATGACTGCTGTTTCCGCTTCGGAATAAAGACGATGTGAAGCTGAGCAATGAGGGACGACTCCAAATCGCACATAGCCGAACGAGAGTGAGGATGTTGTTCTGAATAAACACAATATATCTAATGAAAGCGAGATGCAAGATCAACAACACAAAACAACGTCCGAATCGAGGATACGCAGAGCAGAATGGCCGTCGAGTGAGTGGAACCGATGAAATGAGCAGTCGAAGAACTCAAATAAAGCAAAGATATAGTGGCGATGAGATCGTTCGTGACGAAAGTATACAAAGCTGCAATAGGTGAACGAGTGAAAAACAGTCCTCCAAAGGACGAAAGTTAGCGGGATAGTAAGAGAACGAGCGTTAAGAAGCATAAATAGAACAAAATATCCTGCAGATTGGATAGGCCGAGCTAAAACTGCACAATCGGTCACTGAATGGGATAGACGAAGGAAAAACGTCCGATAAGAAAACAATTGGATAATGTAGTGGGAACGGAGACAGAAAGCCGAAATAATTCTCTATTGAGTGAAAATAGCGAAAATGATTCATTGAAAGAAGAGCGGAACTAGTCATAGATAAGGAATTTGTAGAAGAAATAACTGTAGTGATTCAGTGGAATGGACACTCTTTCCGAAACAACAGATGCAGAATGTTAAGGTGTTCTTGCTTAAACGTGAGTGTGTCCTTTGCAAAGATAGAATAGATTCAATTGCAGGTGTTCTTTTTTGTTTCTATTTCTAAACTATGCTTTCCATTTAAAGCGGCAATCGATACCTATAAAATAGATTATGGCTGGTGCTGTAGGTCGAGATGACCTAGATGAATCGGCTTCGATACTGATGACGATCAACAGCAAGTCGTTCAAAAGTAGGCAATTGACCCGTATACTTTCGATTTCTCGTGCTCATTACTTATCAAGACGACTTCATTACAAAACGGTTTCGATGATGTCGATGGTATTTCGTTGATGGAGAAGAAAAGTGAAAATGTGTTCATTTTCTACGAATACATTACCATTATTAGCTTAAAAAAATAGCTATTTCACGAAAGAAATCCAGTAAATATAATGAATTACCTATGGAGAAAAAAGTTTGTTCTCCTCATATTTGTTGGTACATTGGCAGATGTCATGGTTTTTCTGACAAATAAAGCTTCAAGTAGAGCGAGAGCACCAAAGAAGCTCCAAAGGGAACAAGTTTCCACTGAAGAAGGTTGCTACGTTTCCAGGTCAAAGGTGTCAAAAAAACTTGGTAGATGAACAGTGTAAAATCAAAATCAAAGATGCACCATGCACTGGACTCCATTCAGAACTTTAGAGGTGGTTAATTACAGAGCAACAGGTCTATACGATACAAACTTGCCAGTGGCCTATCAATATATCAAATCAACGATTTTACATCGGATGAGAGAATTCTGTTACAATTTTGTAGACAGCAAAGGGATAGGAACAGTTTGTTTAGGCCGAAATGTGAAACTAAACCAGGATCACATGTGTGCTGCAGGTTATCTGAGCTGCACTACACTGGCTCCAGTTTTTCACGTTGAGGAAAACCGTAAATCAATAGCGTTATCGGCTTGATCTCAGCAATTCCAGAATGCAGAATAGGTGAAGACGCTTCAGAACCATATAATACAGCTTATTTAAGAAACGTCAGATATACCGTTAAGGCTGGAGTTTAAGCCAAAACAATGTTTTATAACAGTTTCACGTAGAATTATCAATAAAGCGAAGATACAGAGGACATATGTTGAAAGATTTCCTATTCCTAAAAGGTCAGTGGTGTAGCGCTGGAGCCGAAATGGCGCACATGAGTAATTTGCATAACAACGGTACGGAAGAGGATATTTTTGCATATTAATGTTATAGACTCCACGGGTTATAGAAGTATGTCGAATAACAAGCCCAGCAGACAGATTTTCATCATCTATGGCGAAATTTCTTTAACTTTCCTAGAAAAAAAATCAATGATTTAGTCACAATCTTAACCCTTTTACTTACTGACTTGTTCTTTTTAATGGCAGGGTATGTTGCGAAATATAACTCGTATATAATGCTGAGATATTTGCAAAAGGGAACGAACACGCGCTGTTGTCCTTACAGGGGAGCAGCGCACTTCACCATCACACCATCCAGGTCCTTCGTTTTGCCTGTCTCTCAACTAGTTCTATCGATCTTTTTGCCATCAGCGATCACCCGTCAACGTGATTGATCTGGGGAGCCCAAATCGGCATTGAACCCAGTTAAGCTAAAGCTTAGTTATAATCACAAAACGAAGGACCCGGATGGTGTGGTGGTGAAATGCGCTGCTTCCCGGTAATGACAACAGCGCGTGTTCGTTCCCCACCGCATACACCTACGGTCCGGAGTTTTGCAAATACCTCAGCATTATATACGAGTTATATTTCGCAACGATTTAGTCTTTCTAGTGAACTTAGCTAATTGAAGAAAGATCAGAATAGA